CACTAGCCCAGGTTGCTCCAACCTGGCCTTGGACACTTCCAGGGATCCAGGAAGACTCACAGGGAGGATAAAGATGAAAAGAGCAGAGTTCTTTGTCCAACCCCAGGTGAAAGGCACTCCCTGCTCCATACAAACACCTCCAGCCCACCAACAGCCAAGATGGAAAAAAGAGGGAAGGAAAAATCCACGTGCCAAAAATGCCCCCTGGATCAGTCCCAAGGTCCAGAACACAGGAGCTGGAGCTGGCTCAGCTCTAAATTGAGCCCTAAAAAACTCTTGATTGCCCCAAGGAGTGAGTCCTTCTTTGCTGCTGGTTGTTGTCCATGTTCATTTTCTCACAGAGCTCATCCCAACATTTCCATGATCCTCGAGGGTCCTTCCAACTCAGGATATTTTCTACGTCTGTGATGAAACTGCGGGTTTTTAAAGGGTTCCTGGATTTCTTTGGTGCTTCCCTCAAAAAATCCCCACTCCCTCACCCCTGTGCTGGTACTTGACACTAAATTATTTGTTCAATAAAGCACCAAGCAACAAACAGGAACCCCTGCTGGTAGATTTAGAGAAGAAATGATAGGAGCAGAGCAGATAATCTCTCCCCAGGTACATTAGGCATTTAATTTAAATTGTCTGGGTGTATTTTCTCATGTTTACATCCTCAAGCAATTTGAGATTGGCCCAGGACTGACAGAAGGAAAATATTGTTTATGTCATACAAATCATTAAACTATAAGCAATTCCATTAAATGTTTCTCCACTCTGTAGGGCAAATGAGAAAACAGCTGGTTGTTCAGTTCTGCTGAAATCTTTGCCCACAAAAACACTGACATTAATACAGGCAAAAGCTGCTCTTTGCCATGGGATTGATAAGGATAATTTGCAATAGGATTGATAAGGACAGTTAAGATCCTTTACTGTGACAGCCAAGGGATATTATGTTTGAGAACAAAGTATGTTGTTTACCTGTTTTATCTCATAACCAACAGATCTGTTACCTGGATGGGACATTTGGGGCAAGTCCAGGGAGGAACAATCTAAAAAGAAGATTTCTTGGGGATTTTAAAAGCCATTCTTCTCTCACATCTCTAAGCAGGAACAATAAACAAAAAATCACCCAGGAAAACACCGGAATCAGTCACTTAATTATTGGATCTCACACACAGAAATCAGGAGTTTGCCCTGAGCTGTCTCCTGGGGCCATTCCTGGGAGCTGAGGAGATGCTGCCTTTTGAAGGCTCCTTCACAACCCCCAGGGCAGGGCTCTGCTGAAAGAGTTGTCAGACACCAGAGTACCCCCGAGTGCTGCTGCCCAGCGGGTCCTGCCCGTGGGTTCCAGGTGCCAACCACCTCCCAGCACATCCCTGGCCTTCCAGAAGT